GTGACGTTACTGAAAATTCATCACCCTTGCTCGATATAAACAAGTCAACATTGCCCACATCTGATAGAAAACTCTTAGCAAATCCGCCAAGCGCGCTACTTACGACCCTACACCACAGACTACCATGCCTGGCCTACTTGTTCAAGGTGCACATGCATGACAGCTCAGCGCTTTGATGCATGGTCGCCGAACGGTGTATGGCATAGCAGGGGACGCCGTTGGATGATGCTAGGCGGGACGCTTTCAAAGCCCGCAACGACTGCCACATACTACGCATCCCCACAACATGCGCATTACGGTTTGAGTGGTCGTACGAAAGCGGTCGTCTCCTTGCTGATTCTTGTATCCACCACCACGCCTATCTGCGACTCCAACAGACTTGGTGATTGCATTGCATGCTGACCAGGCCTCTCTTGTGAAAGTGGCAGAATTCCAATACCTCGGCGAGTTCTCCTTGCAGCAAGTATCCCGACATGATGCACTTCTCAACAGCCAGACCTTGCATATACATCGCTGGGATACTAGTGAGGGTCGGCACGGATTCTGTCAGCTTTGCGAACGTTTCTCCCCAACGGCCCAACGGTCCAGGCCGCAGTGGCAGGTAAACCGCCAGTTTGGTCAGAATGGCATGATTTGACACGGCCTTCCCCGGATCCGATACATTGGTTGATGCGCCCGACGCATTCCTTCCAATGCAGCTCACGCGGCCAAGGCGCCGGAAACGCCGAGCTACGAGTGGCTGAGCCAGACGAAGACGAAAACCATGATAGAGACAATGGCAGGGAAGCATTTGGAATTCCGATAGCCGCAGGTAGGAAGCCGTTTGGGAGAGTCCTTTGTGTACGCTAGAGAACTGTGCCTCAAACACACAGCAGAGCAAGGCAGATCAGGTCTCATTCCCAGAATTGGGTCAGGAGCCGGGGCTTAGGTCGTGTTAGCGTCCGAGAAGCAAAGGAAGAAGACAACAATGGTGGCATTGAGACATTGACGGGCGTGTTGATGGTGTGCACCCGGGGGATGGTCGGTGAGCTGGTGGCCCAATCTCTCGGAAGGAGTGACGCATGTCCAAAGCCACGCACTCGGTACTGGCAGGATGAGGCGTAAAGCTGTCGGTGTCATTCGACACGTCGGTCGTGGCTGTGGGTCTTTGCAACAGCTGGCAGCAGACAGGGCGGTCGAGGTTGCGAGGACTGCGGGGTTGACTGGCCCCCTAGCGCTCCCGTCGGCGCTTTCGCTGTCGGCGCGCCCTCCAAGGCCAGGGCCTTGGGAACGACATTATCCATTCCGCTGGGTTTCGCCTCTTCCTCGACACGACTCGGGGCGAGTCCTGTAGCGCACCGTAGCGCATCCCCAAGACATCATGGCCACCTCTGCGACTGACCGCGTGCGCAAGACCAAGCTGCGGCCGCTGTCCAGTGCCACCAATCTCACCGACTTCACACACTCGACGGCCGACCCAGCTGATGTATGCCGCCTGCTCTCCCCACTACATACGTACCAAGGACTCCAAACTAATCGCGATATGTAGTCGGATGCACCCTCAGATGGAGAACTCAACGACTTGTACCTCTCCTCCTCTCCCTTCGTATATTCCATGCGCTCACACATCGCAGCGAGGTGCAAAGCCTCACGCCAAGCATGTATGGCGTCGAGAAGAAGTACGGCCGAACTTACCATGGCTTCCATGCTGGAGGTACGCATTCCCACGGGACGACTCTTCACCTGACTCTCGCTAATTGACTCCAGCCTACCCATTCCCCAACGATGAGGTACGCGCTGCTAGAACCCATATTCGCCATTCGCCCTATCGCTGACTCGCATACCCCCAGCTCGAGATATATCGCCTGGAATGGGAGCATCACATTATAACAGGACTTCTGCAAGGAAAACACTACTTCGCGCCGCTGAACACAAAGAGATCGTCGAGGATGCTGGACATTGGCTGTGGCACCGGACAATGGTGCATCGCCATGGGTATGTGCTGTGTCTATAGCTCCTTGTGGAAACACGACTGACAAGCAACAGCAAAGAAGGCTCCAAAACATTGGCGGGTACGCGATGCAATGCTCTCTTCATGGCCACGCTAACCAGACACCAGGTCGAAGGCATCGACTTATCCGCGATCCAACCCAAGAAAGACAGACTGCCCAACAACGTCGACTTCTGGCTGGACAACATCCTCAAGACATCTTGGTGGTTCCCCGAAAAGCAACCCTATACCTACGACTACGTCCACACACGCTTCATGCACGGCATCTTCACAGACTTCCGAGAAATCATACAAAAGGGCTTCAACAATCTAAAACCTGGTGGATGGATGGAGTCGCAGGAGATATTTTCCAAACTCCAGTGTGCCGAAGGCATGCCGGAAAGTTACCCGCTGCTTGAATGGTCAAATCTGCAGGACGAGGCCGCGCACATCCTGGGCCGGCCGTTACGCATCGCGGATAAACTCAAGAGGTGGTACCGAGAAGCTGGATTCGTGGATGTGCACGAGGAGGTCTTCGCTTTACCCGTGAATCCATGGCCGAAAGAAAACAAGTCCAACATGTACGGCAAGTTCTGCATGTGGAACATGCTCGTCGGTTTGCACGGATGGACTATTGAATATTTTGTCACCGGCTTGGGCTGGACACCAGCAGAGGTCGAAGTCTACCTCGCGCATGTGAGGAACTCGCTTGCAGACGAGAGTGTGCACGCCTATTACAACTTGTAAGTCGCACGTTGAACATGTCACAATATGACGAGGCGGATGCTAACATCTACTAGCTACGTAGTATGGGGTCGCAAACCTAACGACGGCGAAGCCGGCAGCACAATACCCAAGCCCGACCACTGGCCGCAGCCTCCCTCTGACGACGACGAATCCACCTTTTCATCGGGAATATTATAATACACTTTTGGAACAGCCAGTATTAGCTGGCACGTATGCATATGATTTAGCTCTTGGCGTTATTCATTCATTGGGGGTTTGGGGATCGTGCCTTCTTTCCTTTTACATGGATTGCAAGGAGGTAATTTGTTGTTGTCGTTGTTCTTTGCATATTTTCTCGGCGGCTTGTGTCGATTGAAAAAGCCTTGAGCGGTGGTTGGGATCCTGTTGCTTGAGGGTCTGCGATTTACGATGTATGAGACTTGGACTTTCTATGGTGTTTGGATGAGGGGGTTAGTTGTTAATGTCATTCGGTCTGTTGCTATCTCAGGTCTGTGAATACAAAGAGGAGTCACTGTAACGTGTGTATCGGGGTTGTCTTCGTAGTTGTACGTGATACAGTGTGCTACTTGGATGTGCGCACATGCATCATAAGTTACGTTGGAGCCGACTTTAGACCTGTAGCTACAAGACCGCTACCGATGCTCATACCCCTTCATGCTGTTTCTCCGAAGGTGTCCCAACATTGCCTGAAGTCGCTAATGGATCTCGAGCGTGTCGCTGAGATCTCAGGCCTCCCTTTCCATACATGTGTTCTTGTTCAGAGGCCAGGTGCCTTTGATTTTGTGCCCCTCCAGTTGAGTTTTCATGGAGATGGCAAGGTCAGCAAGGAACTCTTTGGGCAGTTCATCACTACACTTGATCAAAAAGTCCACAGAGATCTTGCGCCACAGATCTACCATAAGGCGACGACCGAGACTGCCCGCGCATGTTCCCCGGTATACGAGCACGATGGTATCGGTTCGTGGACAGGTATACTTGTTCTCGTATTTTCCCATGGAAACCTCGAGCAGACTTTCGACGGCGGAGTTTTTTGCTGCCCTGTCTTGCAGCTTCTCACAAAGCACGTAAAGATTGCCGAGCACGTCGAATTCGTCGCAGATGGTAGTAACGGTCTTTGGACTTTCAAGAGTGTCCGTGAGAACAAGACCGGTGTACACTAGATTCATGTAGATGCCGAAGATCTCCGGATTGTCCTCTGGGAATCTGACAATGCGTCCTTCGCTCTCCGCCCAGTTTCCGTTTAGAGCACGTTTAAAGAACTCAGAACGTGCGCAGATGATTCCTTCAGGTATGGAGAAGCGCTGCTGGTGTGGCTCTCTGCCCACGACGATTGTGATGAGCTTGGACGGGTCGAAGCTGCAATAGTTAGTCTTTGATGATAATGTTTCTGCCCTTCAATACTCACCTCATTGCTTTCTTCACGTCTCCTCGAGTGGCCTTTGGAGTCGCCATGGCCGCTACGATGATGGCAGAGTTACCTGATTGGTGTCGGGGAAGTGCGAGATGGCGAAGGGCATGTGGAAAGCGAAAGGTTTGAAGTAGGTGTAAGCGAAAAGAAGACCCCGAAGCGGTAAGTTCGTTTGTCCAAATCTGGTGCGGTGACTGGTGAATTCGAGTGACATCATCGGTGTCTGCGCGCGGTGAGCGACCGCCTACAGCTAGCCTTAGATGATGGTGCTCCGTCAACCTAGGGAAAAGTGAACACCCTGGGGTCTACATCGATGTTGATACACCCACTTTGCATGTACTTATGTCTATGTAGTCTGCAGACCTGTTCAGCTTTTCCCTTGTATGAGGTGGTGCAGCTAGCGAAGCACCCGATGTTCAAACTGGAGGATGACCAGAGAATCAACGCAGCATTTGTAATGTAAACCCATAGAGACATACTGCTGCCATGTTTACAGATACTCCCTAGGTGGACGCTGCCGCCATAAGACAGTGGTACACTGACAGGTGGGAACAAAACGAAAGTTCAAGTACGGTGTCATGTAGGAGAGCGGGGGTTCGAAATCAGAGGACGAGCATTCTCTGTGGGATTTGGGTCTCGTAGGATTTTGGAGATTATGACGCAATGGATCAGTTGACAAGCGAATGTTGATTCCTGCAAGCGCTGTAGATTTGCCGCGTTATTTTGGCTGGCTACCTGTGCTACATGTCTCTATACCTTAATACGACTATTTCCAAGCTATCATAGAAGAGCCGTCGTCCGATTTCATTCATTCCGCTGACCACAAACTCCACGATCATCCGGTGCAAGTCGGTAATGGCAATCCCAGAGTAAGACTCAAAGTTGTTCTTGATACACAGTGAAAGACGAGCTAAATGCAACGTTCCGCATACGTGCAGGACGACAAGCATGAAGCGAATGGGCGAGATCGATGAAGAATTCCTTGCATACGACTTCCGATTGCTCGAGAATGCACTTAGTGTTGTCATCATTCCAAATGTCGACCATGAGGCGTCGTCCAGGGCTGCCTTTCAACGTGTTCTTGTACATGAACTCGACGATCTCGGCGTTGGGTAGTCTGTCGGCAAACAAATTTCCTGTAGTTTTGGGGTGGAGAGTCTGCAAGGCGGCATTCTTAGCTTGCTTGTCTTGCAGTTTCTCGGCGAGGATGTAGAACTTGACGGTCGATAAGGTATGTGCTTGGAACTTGACAGGCGTCATCTTGGAAGCGTCTGGTTCATTGTACAACACGCCCATATAGATGAGATTGACGTAGAGGGCAAAGATCTTGGGGTCGTCCTTAGGTAGTTTGACAAGTCGATCCTTCTTCTCAGACCAGTTGCCATTCATTGCGCGGCGAAAGAACTCGGAGCGTACGCTCAGGATGCCTTCGTGGAGTAGGAAGTCTTCTTGAGAACCTTCAGGACCGACGCGCACAGTCAAGAAGGAAGCCGGGTTGAAGCTAGATTGTTCATGTCAGCATCGGCGATTGACGGTTACAAAAGATCACTTGCCTTATGGTGCTGACTTTCGCAGCTTCTGCAGCGGTTTGTGACTCCATCGTGAGCACTATCGTCCTGGCGGTCTTGAATCGCGGGTGGTGTTGTGGGGAGAGGTGAGGAAGAGCTTGTCGTAAAGTTGCAGCTATACGAGGAACTTGGCTGTGAACAGATCTGCGTCTATGGCAAGCCGCAATCAAAGCGAAGGCCGAAATGCAGGACTAGAGCTCTGATGGGTGTGGAGGCTTTTGGGGATGGAGTGAGAGAACCCGCAAGAATGGCGACGGAAGCGGTCAAGCAAACAAATTTCTTCTGCTGCCGCTAGATCTTAAGGCAAGGCGGAAGCAAAAGGCGTTAGCATGGTACGATATTATGTAGGATGTGGATACTGGGCGAGGGACAACCACGTGCCGCGAGTCTAGTCGCGACTTCCTGAACATGCAGACACATCTTGCCATCATCGTACCTGCCTCAGACGATGCGGCCACCCACCTGGATGTGACATGGCAGTTTGCAACTTTAACTGATCAACCTCACCATGTTGTACCTCTTCCTCACCGCTCACATTCGCTTGCGTGGACCTTTGCCATGTCGTCATCACCATGTGAGAACCAACTATACTCCTCACCAACATCTTGAGGTTAGCAAAATCCCAAACAGTTCAGATACGGACGCAACCTCTTCGCACACGCCACACCGGCTCTGAGACTCACCTTCACCTCGCCCTCCACCCAGCCTGTCGTCTACCTAGCCCCGCCACCTTGCATGCAAGCCCTCTCACCTGAGCCCACCCAGTACCACCACCCACAAGACCCACCTTTACCTGAAGATATAAACCCCAACGTTACCCCATCCACCATCAACTCTCCTCCACTTGGCGGACTCGGGTGGGCTCCTGACGGGTACATAGAGTGCATTGCACGGATTAGAAAAACCTAGAGAAAAAACAGACAACATGTCCATCAAAACCAAAAGTGACTCTGGTAATGGGAAAAAACACATAAGAGAAGGATTTGTCACACAAAGGGCTGAACTCAGGAGGGCGCGCCGTTCGATTCGGAGTGGGCGTCGGTCAGCAGATGCTGGGTGGGGGTTGAGTTGATTCTTTTTTGCCCTCTTTTTTTCGATTTGGGTTAGGAGGTGAAGGTGAAAATGGCATGTGAGAGCGGGTGACGTATGTCTCTCGTAGAACAACAACACGCGGCCGCAGCTAAGACATAACAGAGGAATGCAGAAGACACGCAGAGGCATGAGGAAATAGAGACATAAGACAGATACAGATGACTTGAAGTTTCATGTGACTTTTCTACTTTTACCGTTAAGTATGTCCTTCCTGAATGGCATCGCAGCGTACCCGTTAGGCCCGTGTGATGGCGTGGCACTCCTTTCTGTCAGCTTCTTCCACAGCTCGCCTATACTTGCTCTCTTGGCGGGGAGCATGCTATATTGCAAGCTGTATAAGTTGCGGCGGTGAATCGGTGGGACAAACTGCCCTGACACGAGATACAATAAGACGCTAGGCGAGAAGTAGTGCTTGCGTATGCGATCGCCAAGGTCGAAATAGGGTTGGAACATCGCACGTAGTGACAGCGGGATCGACTGCGTAGTATGAGTTCTCGTATATCACAGGATAGAGCAGTTCGACTTACCTTCAGCAACACATAGGCCGTCGGCGGTGAGCCTGTCTCGCTTGTCGTGCTAGAGGTAAGATCGGTCGTGTCTTGTAGCTCGAAACAGATTCCTCCAGGTAGTCTTCCAGGATCCTTCAGTCGTAGCATGACTGCAAAGAGCGGGAAGTGATTGAGACAGGCAAGCCCCATCTCCAGCGCAGCTTTCAGTCCGATGACAGCAATGCGTGCGCTCGCAAACGTCAAGTAGAAGACGAACACAGTTGGCAGTAAGAAGAACTGCAGTGTGAAAAGAATTGTGCCGAGCAATAGCTGGTCCAAGTCGTAGTCGCATGAGTCGATTCGGTTGCGGAGGATGTTGCGCTTCTTTCCACGGAAAAGGTGGAAGAGGGATATGATTATCGTAAGCTGCCAATGAAAGATGCGAGCAGACGCGACGTAAAACGAGTAGATGTGCAGCGTCAGCAGCGAAACGAGGTCCGAGAAGATTGAGATGGGCATAGTGGCGCCAGCGAAAGCGGAAAAGCCAATGATCTGGATCAGCGCAGGTAGGTGTGGCCGCAGAAGTGATATGCATCCCGCCCAGTAATCAATGACCCAAAGAAAAAGGTCGCCCAGGAACGCAGCCAGTTCAGTGTTCAACTTCAAGCCTCCGGGCCATCCCATAAGCCATGATATCATGCGCCGCAGACCGTCGACCGACCAGGTACTGAATATGGTATCGACCTGAGCAGCCACGAACGAAGCGTTCTCGATGATGAACGTTCCGACAGCAATGCCCATTATGACATCGTTGGCAACTAGCCACAGACTATTGTAGAACCGGATATACTCAGGATGACTGTTAGTGATGGATTCCCAGTTGACTTTCCGCCTTCGTAAAGTGAGATACTGAATGGGCCAGTAACAAGACTGTTGTAATCGTATGTCGATCTGTTGCGCTGTTGCGGAGATGTCCTTCAGAGCTGGCGAGTCGGAAGAACCTGGCCGCCAATGTAGAAGCTGAAGGACTGCCTCTCCCATTATGCGATGTGTAATCAGCCCGAAAATGAAGAGTTGCGCGGCTACCGGCCATATCCAGACTCTGAACGCATAATGGAGGACAAGCCATATGTAGTCCCAGAGATCGTTTGCAGACTCGACGACCCGCTCACTGACACTCAAGGCTCGCTTCATGCGCTTGCCTATCATGCCGATGTTCTTCTGCAATAGGGCGTTCAATTCGTGCGAACAGTTCACCTGCTCGATGAGCATCGGCAACGCCAGCTCCTTTTGAGTGCGCGGGTGTGCAATGACCGTGTGCAGCTTGAGCTTCTCAACGAGATGTGCCTTCCTTCTGCGCTCCTTCTCTTCTGCTTTCTCCAGCTCCTCGAAAGCTACATCCCATTCCGCGACCCTTGTTTTGTCTCCTAATGCGAGCGTGATAGGCTTGAGCGAGAGGTATTGCATACGCGTTGGGTGCGGTCGGTCGTATACGATGACTTGCATAGCCACGAGCGGTTCGTGAGGATAATGAAGGCGCGGAAAGCGGAACGAGGGGTCGGTATGAACTACGATGAGGTCGGTATCAGGCTGTTCGACTGGGCTCTTGGGGTTGACGTAGCCCAAGGCGCGCATAGAAGAGTGTCCGCATCGTTGAAGTAGTTCCTGGACATCGTGTGGGCTGTGTCGCAGCAAGGTTCCGACAAGCAGCGCGTTCTCGACTTGACGCAACTCGACTTCTTGAAGCACAGCTACCACAAAGACATCTGACTCCGAGTTTCTGAACCCCACCAGAACACCCGGCACAGAATCCTTTGGAGCGTCTGACGGCCAGAATACGCGCATCAACCCATTGTGTGTGACCATGTCATCATCCTGCTACCCCGCTAGACTAGAAGGAACCGCGACGTTTGAGCTGCTCGCGCGCAGAGATGCCGGTGCCTGCGAGTCGGGGATGCTGTTTGATGCTGTTAGTAAGGACCCGGAAGTGCGATCAAGGCTCATACTGACCAGGTCTGTCTCTTGTGTCGCGATGCGCACAACCGGTAGTATGAAGAGGAAGAACAGTAGGGACAGCAGACAGAAACCCTTAGCAGTCCGTGTCACAACGCCGTGATCCCAGGCAAAGATACCTAGTTCGTAGACGCGCGTCACAAGATCCCAACGGGCGGTCGAGTACCCTGCGACGAAGATTCCGATAGTAAGAATAGAGAAAGCGTGCATCTACGCCGTCATGCCAAGTTGTATTCGGAATGGTCGAAGGGGGACTGCGCGAACACTAGACTAGCATTCAGGAAGGCGCAAGTGTCTGCGATGCGTCCTGGCTTTCACTCTGTGAATTGACACTGGTATGAAGTAGTGCGCTTGGGAGTACATGGCGCTGGATGCATTAATGCGCGAGGCGTAGACAGACGATGATCGCGTACGTGGAAGGTCCGACCGGACTGATCGAAATGTGACGCTAAAGCCGAAATGGCCTAGCGTTCATCGCTCTGTCCTCGACAACGGTGAACACCATCACAGAGGCAAGCATCAACACCCAGACGCACAAGGAGATTCACCCTTTTCGACAAGCAGCTATAACACACCAGCTGCCGTGCTACGGTAGGTGCTTAATTTCGTCTCGTCAACTCTTTCTACTCTACTTCGATACTGTCTACGCTGATTGCTTAGCGCGATTTGGCGACGAGCATTCCCAGTGCCACATGCATCGGTCGATATGGGCAGAGACGGGCAGAGGGCCGGGAACACCGAGAGTGCATTGCGATGGGCAGAGGTAACTACAAGTAATGGATTTTAACGGCGTTTCACTGCTGTGTGAATCGCAACGACCTGGGCAAAATTTGGCGCTTTCACCTTATGCAAGAAAAGAGCTGAACAGGTCTAGAGCCTACATCGACGCTAGGTTACCTATCTTGTAGGTTTTCACGTCGATGTAGGCTGCAGGCCTGTTCAGTCTTTTTCTTAGTTGACGTGCTTTGTTCGCGTTGATTACTAGCGCGTCGCGTCCGTCCGCCTGAACCTTGGAACCTTCGCAGTTTCCGTTCACTCCAGCCGCGACTGCCTCTTTCATTGACCTCCACAAGTTGACAACACAAGTAAAATCTCACCGTTGCTAATATTACCCAGTCAACTACGAAACCCAAACTTTGACCCTAGACAAGGAGACTATCACGACAAACAAGGCGACATGACTGTCTGTGGCTTCTACCAGCGGAATGCATGTAAATTCGGTGGTAAGCTCATCCGCTATCCTTTACAGACAACTGTCTCACGCGAAGCAGATTCCTGCAAATTCGAGCACCCTGGAAGTTCGCGAGATGCAGCTCGAGGCGGAGGCGGAGGTGGAGGCGGCTTCGGCGGAAGTTCCAACCGCTTCGGTGCTTTTAACGGCGACCGCTATCGCCCAAGTGATAACAGCGGGACTAACTCATTTGGTGGAAACCGTGATCAAAAATCATCGACCTTCAGCTTAGACAAGGACGCTATTCAGATCGATCTCGCCAAAGAGCGCCCGATCTATCCGCTTTCATGCTACGGTCCAGGAAAAGATGCTCCACGGCAGCTCATCGAGGGGCCTGTCGAGATCAGTCCAGAGGAGCTTCGATCCCGGTACTACACATTACGAGCGGCGGGCAATGAGCCTACAGCGGTAAGTCTGAAGTTCGGCGCTGGGTTCTTGATAACTAACGGTCTGTAGCAACAAGAAGAGGGAGCACTGAGCGAGAAGATGCAGCAGCAAGTAAAGGCGATTTTGGATGATATCACAGGTGCTATCAACTATGTCGCAGAGGGTGCCAACGTTCATCCCAACCGCATCGACATCGCCAAGGGCACTGCAGCAAGCGGATCAGCAAGCAACCCGACTGGGTCCTCTAATAATGCTGCGAATCCTTTCATGAAAGCACCAGCGAATCCGTTCCAGACTGCTGCAGCTTCATCTCAACCATCCGCGTTCGGGCAGGCTTCTACACCAGGATTCGGCAAACCGGCCTTCGGTCAACCAGCACAGACAGCGTCCGCGTTCGGTCAACCTTCAAATCCAGGTCAGACAGCATCGGCCTTCGGTGCAGCCTCTGGTTTAGGTCAGAAACCATCACCTTTTGGCCAATCTTCAGCGTTGGGTGGCGGACAAGCATCAACTCCAGGCCAGACGTCGCCCTTTGGTGCAGCTTCTGCTTTAGGCCAGAAACCATCCCCCTTCGGCCAACCGTCAGCATTGGGTGGTGGTGGGAGTGCGTTTGGGAAGCCTGCTTTTGGTGCCTCAGGATTCGGCCAACCGTCCATGCCGGGCGCAGGAAGTGCATTCGGACAGGCCAGCAGTATGGGTCAAGGTTCTGGATCTGCTTTCGGCCAGCCATCAGCTCCTGGTGCAGGAAGCGCATTCGGACAGGCCAGCAGTATGGGCCAAAGCTCTGGATCTGCTTTCGGCCAGCCATCAGCACCAGGTGCGGCGTCGGGTTTCGGCCAAGCAAACGCTCTTGGACAAAAGCCAAGCCCATTCAGTAAACCAGGTTTTGGACAGAGTGGATTTGGACAGGCGGCTCAACCAGGTGCCAATGCTTCTCCTTTCAGCCAGCAAGCTTCGTCTGGCGCGTCACCATTTAGTCAGCAAGCCTCGTCAGGTCCATCTCCCTTCGGCCACAAAGCACAGCAACCAAGCCAGTCTTCACCATTCAGTCAAGCAGCCCAGCAACCAGCTCAACCTTCACCGTTTAGCCAGCAAGCTCAACAGACGCAGAAGCCGAATCCGTTCGGTCAGCCTCAGCAGCCGTCTACACAAGCACCTGTACCTGCACCTGCACAGGCAAACCCTTTCGGTGGCGCCGCAGCGTCTCAAGCTCCGGCCTTCGGTCAACTAAGCAAACCGTCACCTTTCGGCACCCAACAGCCTCAAAACAACGCAACGCAGCCGGCAGCTGCCAACCCCTTCCTCAAGCCTCAAACATCTGCCGCGCCAGCAGACTCCACGCCTTCACCTTCTCCGTTCACCACCCAGACACAGAGCCAGCCTGGTAACCCTCCCGCCCCCGTCCAGGCTACCTCTCAGCCGGCTTCAATAGCACAGACTAGCTCAGCACCGCGCCCCCATGTTGAAGGTGTTACACCAGATGGCAAGCCCATCGATCCCAAGGACCGTTACAAGGAGGGCAAACCAGAAGAGTATGAGGGCGAGCAGGGTAGGATTCTAGAGGAGATCTACAAACGTGTTGCTCAGCTCGGGCGATTCAACGATGACGAAGACATACCCGTCACACCACCGAAGTGCGAGTGGATCGCGCCGCTTACGCTGTTGTGAAGCGACGATTTGAGTCGGATAGGACAAGTGGGGGCATCTGATGGTAAATGGCATGAACGGCGTTAATTTTGGTTTCGTGGATAGATCTCACATAATGATGTGTTAAATAATAGACTAAAATGCACACGAAAGCGCGTGTAGTTACGCATTCAATTAATTGCAAATACGACCTTCCTAAACGGTGAAGCAATTATCTCGTAGTTAGACAGAGTTTCAGAGAGGCCACGATTCAAGTCCGCATGTCAAGTTTAGGTGAAGGGCGCCTGTCACAATATTATCATCAGGTCCCAAAATACCACCATGAACAGCCTAAAATATATTTGGTATAAGGTAGTTACTCGATGAGTATCAGCTTTCGTAATGACGGAGAAGAGTCCAATCTCGTAGTGTACATGCGTGTTCCATCCCACTGGTCCATCGTTTTGTACTGCCTGCTCAGCCCGTGCATATCCCCATTCGGCGCGCTCCGCACGTTCGGCCGCGTAATCGTCGCTTGATAGGTGTGTGATGGGTGATTTATCGCTTCTTCGCATCGACTTTGTCCTCGAGGGTGCGAACGTAGCCTTCTATCCGTTGGACGGCGGATTGGAGAGCCTGGTTTCGTTAGTCAAGGCCTGCTTCACTTGTACAGTCCCGATGTATTGTTCTTGCGATCGAGCTTATGCGCAAGGGACGCAGGTAGGAATGACGTACGTAGATGTCCTCGGTTAAGAGCTGGTTCGATACGCGGTATTCGTCAATGACATAGTAGTACATGCCTGCGCCGGATGCGGTAGCACCGAGAAGGAAGCCGAACAATCTGTCGTGTGTTAGCCATAAAATTTCAGCCTTGTTTGCCATTCTAGTAGATGACATTCGCCGTCGTGCCTGCCTGATGGCATGTGACAGTCTTCCGTGGCTGTATAGCCGTCCAAACCAGTTCAATAGAATGCAATTGCGAAATGAGCACTCACCCTCCCCTGAAAGCACCAACGGGCTTCTTCACTGGCGCAACAACAGTGTCCTGCCTCAGTACAGCGCTTGTCTGGAATCCGCGGGAAGCAGCCATGGGCGCTCGAACGCCGGCGCGAGCCGCCGCCCTCAAGAATTGAGTTGCCATTGTGTCCTTTGCTATCTTTTACGTCGCTCGTATCGTGTCTCGGAATCTGGTCGCAGATTGTGAGCGTGTGGGTGGAGCGTGGTGGTGGTGACGCTCGTGTGCCGGCCGTGACGTTTGTGAGCTACCTGCTCTCCGCACTACAAACAAGCAAGCTCGACTCGCCTGACCTGGACCCTTGCCTGCCTCACGCTTATGTCAGCCACCCCGCCTGGCTTTATCTGGTAGACCATGCACCGCGATTCATTCATCGCATCTCGACACAACAAAGTTTTTGCCAAGTGTGATAACTGAAAAGGGTTGCACCAGTTGCTTCGTCTAAGTTCTCCCCTTTCGATGGTTCTGAGTCACGATTATTGCCGCTATCCAACTCCGTCTTCAGCGACCCTCTCCAGATGCGGTCCCTGAAGGGGCCATCCAGGGCTTCCGAGCTCTTACCTGGTCGATACGTCAAATACACTCGCACATGCCAAACATGCATATGACGCGGAGACATCTCGTTATAGTAATTATTGAATTAAATCGCGATGCGCGTAAGGGTATTGTAAATCATGTACACTAAGGAAATGAGGGCCTACTAACGGGCAGTGTCCTCGTGCAGTCCACCAACTTCATCAGATCTCTCTTCTCTACACCCAGAAGACTCATCCTGATGTAAGCCTTCGCATAGTCCAGGTTCCAATGGACCTGGTTACCAACAAACGACTTCCACTCATCGGCGATCTTGGGATGTGTCGATAGCACCTTGTCGCTTGGGAGGACGAAGACCTTCTGATCAGCACTGCCACCGGAGGGATTGTTAAGAGTATCGTTGTAGAATTCGACGTC